TGAACTAGGATGCATAGTGAGACCCTGTCTCAAAAAAGGAAAAAAAAAAAAAAAAAAAAAAAAAGAGAGAGTGCCCAGCCCAGGTCAGATGAGAGCACCAAGGGTGAACCCACAGGGAGAAGGGACTGCTCTGGGTGCAGGGCCTCACAGCCTCCTCAGCCAAAGGCACACACCCACCAGCCACTCCCATGGGGGAGCATAGCTTCCCTAGGCCCTGCCCTGGTAACAAATACAATGAAAGGTTCACCCCCCCCACCCCCGTTTCAGGGCCAAGGGTCTGGGAACCCATTTACTCTCGGAGTGCAGAGGAGGGGCAGGCTCTGGCAGGCTGTCCTGTGGGTGTCTGCATTATTCGAACATACCCCACCCTTTAGAGCTCACACTGACCAACCTGTGTCCCAAGTTGCAACGTTTTTCTAACGTGTTTTCTTCACAGTAGCCTTTTCCTGCCACTTGTGCTCTGATGGGTTGAGCCCCAATTGCTGGCAAAAGGTGTCTAAACCAGGTCTGCTGTGAAAGCCCAGGGGCAGACATCGGGTGAAATGTTCAGGTACTTGTCATTCGGGTTTTTGCGGCTTTCAAGGAAATGCTTTGGGAAAGAGACAAAATCCAGCAGGCACTTAGGGACGGGGCCATCCTGACAGTGGAAGGGGCGTCTTTAACATCTCAGGAAGCCACATTAGTTTGGCCAACAGTTGCATGCATTATAACTGGATGAAATTAAGGTGAAGACCAATTACACTTCAGGACCAATTAAAAAGCCAGCAGCACTGCCAGCCATGCAACTCTGTAGCAACTACGCATCTGCTCTGACTCGGTGTAACCGGCTCACTTCGACCCCCTACTCCAGGGCCTCACCCCCCTGGGATATTCCTTTACCCCTGCGGGAGGAGAGATGTGCCCCTGACTCCTGAAGTTGGGCTTATTTACAAACAGCTACTATTCCAGTCCAAGGAAACAAGCAAATCTATCAGAATCACTGCCTCAGAACCCACCTGAGCCATGAGTCAAGCTGGGCTGCAGAGGCCGTATGACTTAAGGTCAAGGAAGGGTTAAGGCAGGGCAGTGTACTTTCTAAAACACTCCATGCTTCTTCCTCAGTAATCCTGGGACGCAGTTAATAGATGAAGCTGGTTCCTGCATGGACCTTACACATCACACTGTCACCTGGCCACACAGCAGCTCTGGAGAGAAGGAAGAAAACTTGCTTCACAGTAGCCCTGTTCTCAAGTAAGGAGCACACCGGGAAGGAGCACCTCCGGGGCCAAGCCGAATCCTCACCCGCATCCCAGCCCCGCCCTCCGGAAGTCATGCCTCTGCTCGGTCACCTGACACACACCTTGCTGAGCACCTGCTGTGGTGCCAGGGCCTGTGCTAAGGATGCCTGAGAGTGAGTTTAGGGCTCTTGCAGCAGGCACTGACATGACAGGCTGTTGGGTGCGGGTACATTAAATGAATAACCCCATTAGTGAATATCCAATTACAAACAGACGTAAGTGCTCTTGAAGGCAGGAACACAGCTCAACAAGTTACCAAGGGGCCTGACCTGGAAGAGCTGCTGTAGGCAAGAAGGGCTCCAGAGCTGGTACCTGGAGGAGGAGGAGTTAACTAGCTAAGCAAGAGGACAGTGGAGATAGAAGAAGCAGCCCGGCCAACTGCAAGCTCCGAGGTAGCACCGGGCAAGGCCCATCGGAGAGAGCCACAGGGGAGGAGCACTTCTGCAGGCCGGTGGGGAAGGACTCACAATTCATTCATTAGGTGCAGACTGGGGCCCTCGATGATCTGCTCTTGCCACATAAAGAGTAAGATCAGAAACACACCTGCTTCTTTCTCTTCTCAGCGCAATAGTGGCACAAGAGGTCCTTATGAAATCCTAGCTCTTTAAAAACAGTTAGAGAAACTATGACACAGCAGATGTCTGTCAGAGCTAGGGAAACCCACGAAGTCCATGAGGGGTGAAGACAGAAGGCGACCACAGCACGGTTGCTCTAGCAGCATTTTTATTTACAAACAGCAATTTCCATTGACTTTATACCATAAAAAAGCCATTTACAAGCAAGAAACAAGAATTCAGAACAAAATTAAGCAGCACTGAAATATTCATGTCACAAATCTAAAACAAAATGAATACGAGAGTAAAATATCATTTGAATAAATAGTCTTGAATCCATGCTATAAAATAATCCTTATGGCAAGTTACTAGTTGATACAGCATCCGCTTAGCTAGCTTCATTTACTTCATATGGTGATGAAGTGTGGAGTTGTGAGGTTACCAGTTTATATTGCAAGATAATGACACTGTGTTAAGTCATTCAAATTGCTCAATCATTTATAACGGAAAACAATGTTAGCCCTACTAATAAAAGTGGTGAGAGAGATGGTTTTCACATTAGGAAAATGGTCATTCTCAAACAAACCAGGTAAGTTTACCTCTTACTCTAGTCAGGGCAGCAACCAGAGGCTTGGGCTGCAAGTCCAAAGGTTGAATTCACAGCATACTTGTCACTGAGGGGCAGCAAGAGGTCTGTTTACTGAATCTGCCTCATGGAGCACCAAGCAAGGCCGGCTCCAGGACTTGATCAAGAACAATAGCCCTGTTGGTGCCAGACCCAGGGAGGGAGCTGGAGAACACAGGTTCTCTCCTGGGCCAAGAAGTCAAGCGCTGGGCAGAAACAGTGGGAACACTCTGGCACTTACTGAAAAAGACGTGACATGTGATACCGTTACAAATTTGGAACAATGTGAATGACTTTTCTGAACTTTCAGTTCAGTTGCACTGAGTAATATGAAATCTATGATTTATGAACTAGATAGTTTCATATAAAGAATTTACATAATTCCCCAATACTTTCATATATAAAATTTAATAAATAACCCTGACCAGTCTAGAAGCACCATTCAAGGGGCATGTGCCCTTGGAAAATAGTTTAGGTGTTGCATATTTGAGTCCCTTTCAGTGGAGGCTTCACAGGAAACCATTATAGAATTTAACAATAACAACAACTACAACAACAACGACAACGACAACAAAAATCACAGTAACGAAGAGAAAAAGTTGTTCAAAAAAAGTGATCTCTTTAAAGCAAAGCTCATTCACATAGATGATTTCCCTAGCCCTTGTTTTGTGTTCCTGCAAATTCTTCCTAGAGTGTAGGCTGTAAAAACAAAATTAAAAACAAAACCACACACAAAATTATGCAGGCCTATGGTCTGGGCTCAGGGAAAAACAGAGTTGGTTATGATTGCTATCATATACTTATGCTCTGGAAGATTTAAAAATTATCACTTTAGTTCTACAGTATATTCTGCTTAACAGTGAGTTGACAGTATCCTTTCTGCTGTTTAAAAAAGAAAAGAAAACAAAAACCAAACAACTGCCAAGACAGAGCCAATTGGTTGGGAGGTTTTCCACTGACCAGAAAATTAACTTGTCTTCATATACTGTATTTACAAATATAATTTCTAACTGTATATACAGCTTTAGTAGAAATGAGAGGGTAGAGAACTGATTAGAATGAAAATAAATGTTTAGGTCCACAAACATTAGTAAAAGTATAAAATTCTTTGTCTTCACAGTTTGTAACAGGTTATTCACCGGTAGAAAAGGACGCTGTCACTGTCTTCACATTGTCTAATATCGAAAAGGTAGCTCAAGCAGAGACTCAATTATGAACAAGCCTATATGAATTCAGGATATATTTTACTGTAAAAGTTTTCTTCACATACCACTTTATCTTAACTGATTTCTGCATTTGTTATAAATGAAACACCTAACCTAAAACTGTACAGAAATAGGGACTTTGCTTTCCAAAAAGAGTTGCTCTAAGGAGTTACACAGCGTTCTTCGTCTGCAAAGACGTGAAGTGAACTTCGGGGAGAGAATGTTTCTGTTCTGTGGTCAGGTTAGTCCTCCTGGCACATCCTGATGTGGCAAGGCACAATTAACTGCTGCTGCCCACCCAAATGGAGTGAGCCTCTCTCTCACCAGTCACGCCCACTGGGGTGTGACAGCGCCAACGCTTGAGAGACACCACGCAGCTCTGTGCTGGCCTACACGCTGCCTCCCTCGAAGCCCTGCGGAACTTACAGTACTGTGTTATGGCTTGAGAATTCATTCTTAACACTGCTAGCAGTGGAAAGGGTAAAGTGTTAGCAACACGAATGGGAGCAAGTCGAACTTGCAAAATGCGGAATCACGATTAGTAGAGAGAAACTCAATCAATTTTCTGCCCCTTAACAGTCCCATTACAATGTTTGAACCTGAACTGTACAATCAAAGCAATGTATATTTTTGTCAACGACAATTTTGGATAAGTCACTCTTTGGTAAACTCAAACCAGATAAACAAATTTACAAATACAAGAACTAAGATTCAGACGGACACAGTGACAAGAACCAGGACGGCGGAAGTGCTTGCCCCAAGTGCTCTTCCCTCCTCGCTTGCTGCACACACCGCGGGAAGCTCTGGTGGCCTCATAGAAGGCCCCAAGCCCGAGTGAAAAGGAGGTTCCTTCCCTGAGCTTGACCCCTCATGTCCTTAGGTTTGGGCCTTTCTTGTCACAGACTTAATTTGTATCACAACACAAATTTTTTGCATTTAAATCTTTGTTTAAAAAATCAAACTTATTTGTGTAAGGAAAAAAAAAAATCACAAACATTTACCTGAAACCCCAGAACATATTTAAGTGGGTAAACACTTGGGGTCCAGCCTCCCCTTGAGGCACACGGCTTTATCAGGAGTTGAACAAGTGCTTCAAGGAGAGAACAAACCCCCACTTAGGCAGTTTGAGGAGGAAAAGGCATAATATATACCCGATTTAGCAAGAGCTGCTCCTTGGGAGCAGCAGGATTAGAGTGTAATCTATGTGGAGTTAACACTGAAGTGTAGTGCAGCAGTTCACACGTGAACAGATCCTGTGTACTGAAGAGGTGCTACTGCACAGCCACCACTGGGGCTGTTACACATGAAGGGCTTGAATGATTCTTTTTTTCTCAAAAAACAAAAAACAAAAAACAAAAAACAAAGAACACAAAAATATCTTCCAAACCAACCATTCTTGGTCTCGTAAGAACCAAAAAAGCATGGAGAACCAGCAAATGACTATTTCTGTACTTCTAACTCCTAGCATGAGCCTGGCCTTTCAGTCCTTTCTTTCAAATGGCTGCAGTGTTCTCTTGGGGAGATGCACTGGGTGTGGGTCTCAGAGCTCCTGTTCTCAAGGCAGAGAGGCTGGAGCACTGACATCCACAGGCGGCCTGCAGCAAGTGCATCAACTGCTTCCAGAACTGCCAGAGTCTGCAATACCAAAGTGATCCTGTGAAACCTGTTCACATATGCAAACCCAAATGTGCACTGAGGACTCTCCTAAAGCACTAATAAAGCATTATTCAAATAGGACTTGGGCACGTTTTCATACAGCAATGTGTTTGCTGGCACATGCTTTTGAGGGCTCTTCCAAGCTATAAACTCAAGAGAGAAAAACAACTGCAATAATTCACTATTACTGTTAGATTTCACATTTTCTACAACTATACTGACCTAGAAGATACTTAACATAAAAATAGCACCACGTGACCAAAAATATGGTGACACACACACACACACACACACAGATTTGGTGACACACAGAGTATCTTAGAGGGCTTTTAACTGTTGGTTTCTTTAAGCAGGAAACACTGAGAGTGGGGGAGCCCTGAGGCTCTCATTAGCACACACAATACTAAGATAGATATATTGCTTGCAATTCCCATGGAGTATAGCTTTACAAAAGTACAAATTCCAAGTTCTGCAGATTCCCTGGGAACCGCGTGTAGAAAAAGTTGCTGTGCACCTGAACTGGCTGTTTGGAAAGAAAAAGAAAGGGAAAAAAAAAACAGAAAAGAAAAAAGAAACCACAACACTGCTTGGAGAACTTTGTAGACAGAACTACAAATCCCTTTCCTTTAGTGCGAGTACTAACTCATGGTAGAGAGTGATTTGGTTACCTGGTATGTATGTTTCTACAGTACTGAATGAAGGTAGATCTGTAGGCCGGTAAAAACCTTGAAAACCACTGCTCCTTTGGGGTTGGCTAATATAACACTACATTATGTAAAAAGGTCAGCACCACAGGTTGTCCAGCTTACCTGCCGGACAACAAACAAAAATTCCAAACGGTTTCCAACTAGAGTTGAAGAAATTTTATGGCATTTGGTTTATGTATGTTATGAAGCAGAGCTATGAACACTGTGATTTGCTTTGCTTGCTTTTGGACACAATAATATAGATGAAAACCTACTAACATTCTTCTGTAAGGGAAACAAAGAGGTAAAACTAATGTATTAGGAAGGGATAAGACAGAGTCAAAAGCTCTGTTCACATTGTATTAAATTATATATTCCTCTTACATTCACCTCAACCAGAATAAACTCAAATTTGAGAATGTATATATACTATATATATAATAATTGTTTTATTATATATATATATAAAAATTGTCTAACTACCCCCTAAAAGTAACTTTAAATTAGAAAAGGTTACCCATTTGTATCAGCTGACGGCATCCTGGTCTCCCTCTGTGGGCATGCACTGATGCCAGTGCCTGCCGTGAGAGAGAGCATGCCTCTTGGCAGAAGAGTGTAGGGTCAACCAGTTGGCATAGCTAAATCACTGGCAGATTTGGGATTCAGAGTCCAGCCAAAGAGGAATACTGTCAGCCTGTGTTTTCCCTGGATACGCTGCCCTTCATGCTTTGAGCTCCTTGGGGGAGACAGGGCGGAGGGGTAGGATAAACACAATGAAGTGTTCCATCCAGAAACTTCAGAAAAACTGCCAAGAGACCAAGAGATTTCCAGATGACTGGGAAAAACCAAAGATTACAACAAAGCAAATCACAAATATGCATTGATTAATGTGCTTTGTTTGGGTGGCCTTCTTTACCATCTTAATCAGGAGCATCAGATACTGTGTGGATTTCCATCCGGGAATCTAGGGTCATCTCTGAGGCTGATGCATCGTTTTCTAGTTTCTGTTCCATGTACACATCTGTTCTCTCGGGAGACTCAATGCGACTCCTGACTTCAGCAACACCCGGGTGGTTTTTCCGCAGGTGCTGGTTGAGGGTACCCTGGAATGGAAAGCATTTCCCACAGATCTCACAGCGGAATGGTTTGTCATCAGTGTGGCCCCGGATGTGGTATTCCAGTTGGTCCTTCCGAGTGTACTTCTTCCCACAGAACTTGCACACAAAGGGGGTGATTCCCATATGGAGTCGCATGTGTCTGTCGAGACTTCCTTTCTGGTTGAAAGACTTCCCACAGTAAATACAGATCAACCTCTCATTGTACGGGTACCAGTGGCCTCTCGCACTCCTCTCCCGGGGGCTGCTCTCATACCCAGGGTTGTTCATCATGGCTTCGCTGTCAGACCCCTGCACCACGCCTTGCAGGTCACTGTGGAGATGGACAGACAAAGCCCGCTTCTGGCGTGCACGCCCTCCTCGGAAACAGCTCAGCATGGATCTGGACGGGCTGGAATTACTCAAACTTCCAAAAGCTTCTGACACACTGGTTGGCTGTGAGGCTGCTTGGGAATAGGAATACGCATGCTGCAGCACAGAGCCATAGGAGCCCACGTTCACTGCCACAACTTGTTCCCCATCAACCATCTCAGTGTGGTACCCATCATCACCCAGGGAGGAGCTGTCTGAACAGCTAGGCCGGTCCGACTTTTCCATTTTCACTTTCACCTCGGTGATCTGGCTCTCCCTCACCAACAAGTCCCCTTGCTCATGGTCCCCCTCGATCTGAATCTCATACTCAGACACACTTCCACTGCTCCCCCGATCTGAGTGCCCCTCCTCCTGTAAGCGGCCACGCAAAGCTTTGCTGGGGGTTGTCTCCATCCGGAGATCACTGCTTGCGGTGGGCTGCCGTACCTGAGGGCAGTATGGAGGGGAGATCTCAACTGGGTTGGCAAAGAAGCTTCCTTCTTTCACTCCATTACGGCTCTCGGGGTTCTCTTCAGCACCGACGGTGACAGAGTCAACGTCTCCGACGCTGATTTTTGAGTGGATACTCTCTAGGATCTGCGTGCACTTGTCAATGACACACTGCATCTGAAGAAAGCTGGCTGCAGTCAGAAAACTGACAACATCTTTCAGCTGCAAGGACATTCTTCCAGTGTAACAAAAGGAAAGCAACTGTTCAAACACGTTGGGATTTTTTATTACTGATATTGACAAGCCACTCATGGTACTTAATGCTGAATGGTCCCGGAAATAGGGGGAGCTGGCAGCAAGGACCGCTTTGTGGGCTCGGAAAGGCTGACCCTGAATGTGAACGATGATGTCACATAGTTTCCCTTGCAGGCGGAGTTCGTTTAGCTGGCTCAGAACGGTGCTGCTGTATTCGGGCACATCAAACTGAATAAAACTGCTGCTGTCCATTTCTACTGACATGAGGCGTGATCTGCGGAGAGACAGAGTTTTCATCATTCACCACTGACCCCTCATCCAGTGCAGCGGCATAAACACAAGCTCACAGTATCAGCATCACTGGCTATCGTACCTCCTAAGGTCTGCCTGAACATTCTTCCTCTTGCTTATTTTTTAGGTTTTCATGCTTTGGTTAATTCACCTAAAGCCAAATAACCAAATAATCAATTAGCCCACTTCATGACTGCCCAACATTCATTTTGATCAAAATTAAAACACTGCACACAAGTAAGGCTATTTTAGCTGTGACACTGGAATTCCTTTAGGAAAAGTATTTCCCTGTTTCACCTACTTTTGAGAATTGTGTTTAAAAAAAAAAAAAAAAAAA